CTCAGTCCCCTCGGCACCCCCGGTTTAGACAGGCTCAGTCCCTCTGCTGTGCAGTCGGGACACGTGGGTCAGCGCTTAGCACATGTGTAGAGCTGCTGCAGGAGGAAGTGGTGTAGACGCTGAAGTGCCTTAGTGAGTGCTGCTGCCCCACAGAGAGCACAGAGGCAGGGGTTCGAATGCAGAGACGGCAAGTGGCCATTCATGGCATCTGTCGGGACTGGAATGAAGGTGGTTTCCACCAGCTGCTGCTGGCTTCTCGGGTGGCACTGATCTGGGGAGGGTCCTCTGAAGGCAGCTGGCCTGTGTGTGGATGGTTGTAGGTGCCAAAGAAAGTGGTTGGTGCAGTCTCTGCCCCGGATGATGTTTCCTGTTGGTCTTGGCTAGTAGAATCACCCACCATGGAGTCACTGTTCACAAGAACAGCCAGCAAGTTGAGTCATGGTGGTAATAGAATGCCATGTCTGCCAACCCCAGAACAGTGTATCGACATACATGTCCTTCCTTAGAGTCAGAGGACGCCAGGAGATGCCCCAGGCCGTGCAGCATTTGTAGACAGTTAGGCCCAGCTCTGGAGCAAGGGGTTGTCAAAGCTGCAGCCCATCTGTGTGAGTGGCAGAACTCAAGAGACCCAGAATGCCAGGCTTTCATCTCTTCCTAGGGCTCCCTGAATTCTGGCTTCCCTGGGTTCGCCCATGTGCCTGAATTGGGCTTCTCTGCCCAGCCTTGCAGGGTGGCAGCCCAGCTGATTATATGGATCTCTGAAGACACCATATTTTGCTCCACTCCATTAGAGATGAGAGGCTCCTGGCAGACTCCTCTGGAGAAGAATGGGCAAAGATGCCTGGGCCTGGAGCCTGACCCTGGCCTGGCCTGTGGTAGTCAAAGCCGGGCCCTGTCAGCCAGCAGCTACTCCTCCTCTCTGACTCCTAGAGAGCCACTGTCTGGAGATGGATAGGCCTAACTTCCCATCTGCCTGTCCTTCCTGCTGCATCTCTGCGGTGCTCGCTGTTCCCACCGCAGTCCAGATTTCTGAACCTCTCAGCACACAGAGGGTATTGGATGCCCCACAATGCCTAGGCTGCTGTGGGTGGCTTTACCCAGCCACTGAGCCAGATTTCCAGCCTGACCTAAGTCTCAGTGACTAGGAGAGAAATCTGGCTTTGATTTACACTCAACTGCCTGAAAGATGGAAATATGCGGTGTTTTACCAGTATGGTTCCTAGGAACTCACTTAGTGACCCAGGACATTACCCAAAAAAAAAGGGCATGTGTACCAGGAGATCAGAGGTCCCCCAAGTGGGGTTGTAAGAAGAGCTATCCCAGCTGGGCGGTGGTGGCGCATGCCTTTAATCCCAGCACTCAGGAGGCAGACGCAGGCGGATCTTTGTGAGTTCGAGGCCAGCCTGGTCTACAGAGCGAGATCCAGGAAAGGCGCAAAGCTACACAGAGAAACCCTGTCTCGGGGAAAAAAAAAAAGAAGAAGAAGAAGGGCTATCCCAGGGCTCATCAGGAGTCAGACTGGCATTTCCTGCCCACAGATTAGAATGACTCACCAGTCAGTGACCCATGGGACCAGTAGTTCCTCTAGGGCTGGCCGGAGCAGGAGGCACTGTTGGTACACAAAACCATGCGGGCCTTTCCACAAATCACTCCCAGTGGGGTTTTGTGGATTTGAGACAGGAGAATGGTGTGGGGGGATGACTTCTGCTAGGACCGAGATTCCTAGGGCCTAGATATAGTTCTCATCTAAGATGTCTCTCGGTCCTCCATCCCTAGAAGGGCAGCTGCATCATGAATTTCAACTTCAAGATACCAAGAACCTGATACAAACCTAGGACCTCACACCTGGCCCAGCCTGCGTGCCAGTCAGGCTGGGACAGGTCACTTCCGCCTGGCTTCCTTTTCTAGTGTTGTGGCCTTGGGCAAGTGACTCCCATCTGCAAGTCTCAGAGTTCTTGTCCACGAGGCAGCCTAGGAACAGTGCCTACCTAGTCGCACTGTATGGTTAAATGAGACAGTGAATGAATACTGCTGAGCACATCGCCTGGCACCCACCGTCCCATCCTCTCCACCGCCATCCTCTCAACCGCCTCCTCACTAGCCACAGCAGCAGCCCATCATCTCATCTAACTGCCATCACCATTGTCATTGTCCTGTGGACCCTGTGGGATAAGCTATTCTATCTGGTTGCTTGCCTACATCTTCCCTAGAACAGCCTTCCCATGAGCCTCTGGTCCGGTATACTTCATCCTGAAGAAGGGGGAGTCAGCTCTGAGAATGTGTGTTCAGCTACATGTTCCCAGAATGATCCAAGGAAAGATGCCTATGGCTCTGGAGTTGGGGGCCCAGGAGAGAGCCTATGATTTCTGGGGCTCATTAGATGTTATTGTCCATTCTTTCTGCATTTTGTGGCATTTTAGGGTAGTGGGGGAGGGAACCAGCTGTCTGGCTCCTGTGGTGGATGATCCTGGCTGCTCCAAGCCCCCTCCCCCAGCTCACAGGGAGAGGAGGGTGGTACTGCCCTGGCTCTCTTCTCCTAATGGGTGGGGAAAGGCCACTGTTCTGCTGCCCTTCCACACCTGGGGTTACCTCATGGCTCCAGGGACAGGCTGCGGTGTCCACCCTGTGGGACATTGAGGCCCTTCACCCCATGGCAGAAGCAGGCCTTCTCTGTGAACACTTGCATCTCCATCTCAGCAACAGCCCAGCATCTCCTCAGGCCTCAGTGTGCTCATCCTTAGCTATGGGCAACGGCCCCTCTGAAGGGCTGGGTGGATGTGCTCTGGAAAGCAGGTAGGTGGCACGTCGTAAGCAACCGACAAGCCATGGATTCTGAAGTGCTGGGAAGCCCCCTGCAGCGCACAGGGGGACTGAGAAGTTCCCGACCCGATCTGAGAAGATCCTCAGACTAAAGGTTTTCTTGGCCGTGTAGCCTCCTGGACACAGACACAGCCATGGGATCTGTGATGCTCAGCGCGGCAACACTTCCGAGAGAATACCAGCAAGGCACTGCACCGAGTCAGTGTGGTCCTAGTGCCCAGCATAGGCCCCGTCACATCAATCCCCTGCCTCAGTTATAAGAGGGCGTGTCTCCGGGCACAGTGAGGGGTTTGGGCTGTAGAGTTGAACAGACCTGGATTCAAATCTTTGTTTAGGAGGCTTATACCTTGGACAAGTAGATCCTCATTGCTGAACCTCAGTTTCTCCGTTTGAGAAGGACACTGTAATGGTGCTTGTTCAAGCTCAGTGCGAGTGAGCACAGCGGCCTCATGCACATGAGCACCCACCCCCTGAGCCTCTGTCCGTGCATAGTCCCTCACGCTCGGCTCCGCCTCTGGAAAGGGCCCGCGTGCTGCCTGCTGTCAGACTGGACTGCTTGGAAGAAATGGATTCAGGCTGTTCTCTGACAGGTGTCCATTCTGCTAACATCTGTCATGCAGCCCCAGATAGTCTCGCAGAAGGGGCTTCTGCTGCCCACCCTGCTTCTCAATGACGGACAAGCTGGGACAGTCTTACCTTTGTACCATCCTAGAACAACAGGGAGACCACCTTAAAGAGCATGGTGGAGGGGAGGCTGCTGCTCCAAGTCAGAGTCCTGACCAACGGAGGATGGTGGAGCCTGAGCAACAGAGAAAGCTGCAGAGGAAGCACTTCAGAAACCTCCGTGGTCAGAGCTGGCTCCTAAGCAATTGCTGTCAATGGCCAGAGAGGTCAGCAGCCTAGGAGAGCAGATGTCCAGCAAGGGCTGGGACCTGCTATGCTACTGCCCTTGGTGGCTTGGGGCTAGACATGTGTCAGGAATGGGTGATAATATCTACGTGCTCCACCTGTCAGCAATCACAGCAGATGCATGGGTCTCGGGAAAGAGGTGTGTCGGCATGTAGCCAGCCTGCTGTGGATAAAGAGAAGGGAGAAGTGCGGCCATTGGGCTGGGAGCTGGGTGTACCAGTTCCTCTTGTTAGTGCTAGAGCTCACAGTATGGCAGCGTCAGCCTGTGACCATGCTAAGACCAGCTACCTTGAGGACTTGGGGTAACAAGTACTTAAAGAGGAGGGGCTGATGGACAGGAGGATCCTGTAGCCTCCAACACAGATGACCAGCTCTGAACTTGGGTCCCTGTCCAGATGGCCATCAGAAGTTTCTTCTTAGCTGGAGGACAGACACCAAGTCTGGTGTGATATTCATGATGGCAATGAGGCTGTTCCCACACCACGCACACTAACATCGTTGGCAGTAAGCAGCAGCCTAGGGATAGCTGTGGACAACAGAGCACATTTGGACAAGAAGTTTTGACTTACACAGACAGTTATGCCATCAGCTGGCCATCAGGCAGAGAAGCTGTAGGTGGAGACAGAGTGTGCCTCAGGGTCAGGAAAGGGTAGAGCCTGCACCCCCAGCCCCAAAGAGGTGGAGCTGCAAGTGGCACACTCCCCTGGAAAGGTTCCTGATTCAGGAACGGGTAAGAATGAAGCTAGGCCAAACCCATGGGGAGGCTAGAACCAGAGCCCTCGATGCCGTCAAGTTCCAGAGGCAGTTTCCGGGACACTGGAGCCAGCAAAGAGCCGGTTCAGAGATTACCTGTAGCAACAGGATCCAGAAGCATCCTGGTGAACAGGAGTACTGCATACAACCTGGCCAGATGTGCAAGATTCCTCACTGTTCTGTCTGTGTATGCTTCCCATGACGTGGACCCTATGGACAACATGGCATTTCTGTTAAACAGCTGGAGAATCTGTTGAAACACTGGAGAATCTGGAAGAAGGGTGAACAGTCACATGCTTATGAAACAGTCCCATGAGACCCAGGAGCTTTCCCAGATGGAGACTCTGTGGGACAAGGTTTCCCTGGCCAGGTGGATGTGATACTTGGAGTGGGAGCAAGGAGCCCGAGGAGGAAGGGGGGAGGGGCTGGGCTGACCCGCACTGTCTATGCTCCTGCCTCCTTCAGGACCAGCTGCTCTTTCCAGACTCTGACTAAAATTCACCCCTTTTCCTCTGAAGCAGGGGACGTCTCTACGCCACACTGGGGCCCAACTGGCGGGTTCCAGTTCGGAGTTCTCCCAGAACTCGGAGCTGTGTCTACAGGTACACAGTTGTTTGTTTTCTCCTTTGACACATAGATTTGGGGGGGTGCTGGGGGAAAGGCTCTGTGCCAAGTGTGTCATAACGCTGTCTGGTGCTCCAGTCGCTCCAGAGAGGTGTGGGGCCTCTGGGAGAGAGGAGGGACCGTCAGAGGAAACAACGCTAGAAGAAAGAGAGGAATTAGCCAAATGGCTGGAAAGGGGCTTCACAGGGCGGGAGCTCCCAGCCTGAGAGACTGTGAGGCTGCAGGGAGAGGTGGCTCAGTGAGGGTGAGAGATCCGAGGAGAGGGTTTCAGATGAGGCTGGGGAGGCGGGCAGAGCCACATCCAGGCGGCAAGGACATTACCTGCCCCTTAGAAGAGTAGGACTCAGGGAGAGGTTTAGTAGAGAATAAGAACTGTGTGGATGGAGAGGATATGGGAGGAGGCAGGAATGGAAACAGGAACCAGAGACAGCCATGAGGCTGTCATCCAAAGGAAGACGTAGTGGCCTTGGCAGAGAGGTGAGATGGACAACCAGGCATGGCTAGGACCTGGGACCAGAACATCCTCGGGACTGAGTAGGTTGCAGACCATGACTTGGTGACCAGCTTGGTTGAGCAGGTGCCTGTGAACATCCAATAAGCAGCATCACTGAAGTCTGGAGCCCAGGACAGGACTTGACATTGTCGCCTGTGACAGTGCCGTACTCAAGGGAGAGGGGGTGAGAGGAGAGCCAGGAGCAAAGGGGGACAGAATGGTTAGTGGGGGCTTCTGTCCCCCATTTCCCCAGACCCATCTACTTTTGCACTCTCCTGCTAGCACGAGGGAGGGGTTGCCAGGGCTGGACTGCAAGGACTCAAGCTTCTTGGGCATGAACCACAGGCATGAGCATGGGGAGCAGCCAGGAGGAAGCAGAGGGTAGGGTGGGCCAGGAGACTGCTAGAAACTGGGCTGTGGAAACTTGGTGAGAGTTCTCTGGGGGAGTTCACCCTGCTCTTTGGTGGCTTTGGCCAGCCCAGAGAGTCCTCTGACTGTGGAGGACATCCCAGTGAGGCACCTGGGAGTCCTAGTGGGTGGGAGGGAGCCAGGTATCAGGGCTCTGGGGCCGTATAACTGACTCCTTCATCTCCCTTCAGCCCCACGAGCCCTTGCACCTGTACTGTGGGCAGCTCGGCCACTGTGCCCACGATGGAGGGACCTCTGAGACGGAAAACCTTGCTCAAGGAAGGCCGGAAGCCTGCAGTAAGTCGCACATACATCGACTGGAGGCATTGTGGGCTCAGGGAGTAGCCTGGTCTAGAGACCTGCCAACCAGGCTCCTAGCCCTGGCTGTACCACTGAGGAGAAAAAGACCTCAGTTTCTCTATCTGTGACTTGGGATGAAACTACCTCTCCTCCTGGAGGCCATCTGTGGTAGAGTGGCTGCCCATGGGTGCATGGACAAGCCAGAGCCGTGGTGGTCTGGAGGGCAGGCAAGGCCTGGACCCTCAGAAGGAGGAGGGTTGCGCAGCCCCAAGAGGCAGCATGGCTCACAGTGCCTTGGCTGCTGTGTGGTATCCCATATAGTCTCCCTCCCTCCCTGGCAGCGTGCCAGCTCCAGTGGGGGAGGCACGGGGATACGGTGTCAGGAGTGTCTTCAGGCCTGCCACCAGCCTTCATGTCAGACTCGGCGTCACAGCCACCCTGACCCCACGTGACAGAGCCTCAGCTCCTGGGAGGCAATCTCATCCTCAGGCCGCCTCTCCTCGCTGCATCTGCTCTGCCCTCCTGTCCTGCCACAGCGTTGTCTGGAGATGCCTGGGCCCTGTCGCCTGCCCCTGCGGGTGCTCTAGAGCCCCCGTCTGTAGTTGCCAATTGGATGGTTGGATCGTGGATAAGGTGGAGAGAGAGCTTCCACCGCAGCTCTGGCTACACTTGAAGCCTCCTACAGCATGGGGCCCCGTGTCTGTCCCGTGGTATGGCCTTCCTCCCTCTCCATCCCACACCCACAAGTACAGAGTGGGGCAGAGGACAAGCCGCAAGAGTGGGCTTGCACTTCTGCCATTTGTGTCCCAGGGATGACACTTAGGCTGTTACGTGAGGGGCCGGGACCTCTGCCCACCAAGCCACTCGCCAGCCAGGGACGGGAGAGGATGGAGTTCCACACTCCTCACAAACAGTAAGGCTCACTGTTCTTTCTGTGAGCTTTCTTCACTTTAGCCTGTGTGTCTGGCTGTGCATCCTGCGCTGTCGTTCAGGCTGAAGACAGCTTTTCCTTGGTTGTGGCACAGCTGTTCCCACTGGGAAGAGGACTGTACCACGATGCCCAGTGACCTGCTCCTGGGAGGCACAGTCCTCTCCTCCCCAAATGGGGTGCTGGCGTTGCAGGCCTGAAAGCGCCACCAAAGGTCCAGCTTGGCCCTGCCGGCAGAAAGGCCTCAAAATTCAGCTCTCATTGCAAACTTCAGTTTCTATGCGGCAGCATGGCGTGTCTTTTCCTGGTACACTGTTGGGCCAGCTCCCCTGACACATAGAATTTGTGCACTGAGGCCTCTTCCACAAGGTGTAGAAAGGAGGGGCCTGGATAGAGGTGGCATCACCAAAGGATGGCCGAGGGCCAGAGAAGAGGGGGACCTGGGTTGGCATAAACAGGGACAGCCGTGTTCATGATCAGACAGCCTGAGGCCATGCCCTCCCCAGTGTCATCATCTGCCTCCCTACTTCTGCAGCTGTCCTCGTGGACTAGGTACTGGGTCGTGCTCTCAGGATCCACCCTCCTATACTACGGAGCCAAGTCCTTGCGGGGCACAGACAGAAAACACGTAAGTCCCCTGAAAAGACTGCCATGCCGGACTTCCTCTAATGGCTGCGAGGGCTAGGGTGGGCAGGACCCTTGTCTGCCCGTGTTAGTCTCCCTTGGGAGGGCAGGGCATGGGCCCAGGCCTCCCAGCCATTTGTTGTTCTTCTCTAGTATAAATCTACACCTGGCAAGAAGGTCTCCATCATAGGCTGGATGGTGCAGCTGCCTGATGACCCAGAGCACCCGGATATCTTCCAGCTGAATAACCCCGACAAAGGTGGGCAACGGACTGGACTGTCCCCTCTGTCCCCTCTCTGACCAGATGTGCGCCATGAAGCTCTGGGAGCTCTGAGAACACCATCTTCCCTTCACACTAGGTTTGCCTGGCATCCAGTCTAGTCCTTGGTGCTGTTTAGATTCTGGTTGATGTTGCCACTGAGCAGTGAGGTTGGTCTAGCCTTTACTTAATGGGTCTATCATTCCCCATTCTGTGACCCAAGGGTCTGGGTAAATAACAGCCAATGTTAGATGAGGAAAACCCTTGGGGCTAGAAGAGCCTTGGGCCCTGGCTTTCAGGGACCCCTGACATAGCTTTACCATGAGACTGCACAGCGTTCAGGTCTAAGAGCAGCTCACAGAACCATGTAACTTCCCAAAGCTCCAACTCATCTTCCCCACTTCCTTCTCTGTCCCTGCTGCTTCCACCCTCCCTGACCGTGCTAAGAGGAGGGGAGGTTCTGGTGCCATCCGTCCTGCTAGGGACCCTTGTCTCCACTGACGTGCCCAGCAATCTACAGCCAACTTCCTGGGCAGCCCAAGTTACCAGACAAAAACCCAATAGCAACAGCACATGAGCTCACTGGAATAGCAAACTCTCTGTGCATGCCCACACCTAAGTAAGAGGAATGTTTGAGTACAGAGTTCAAGCACAGGCCCATCATCCCGGCATCTATTCAGATTTGGGGTCTATAGAGCTGGCTAGAGACTAAGACTGTGTGTTTCTAGCAAGTTCCCTGGGAAGGATGATGAGGTACAGGCCAGGGGACTATAAGTGTCATGTTCTCATGATTACAGCTGAGAAATAAGGGCGCCCAGCAGGTAGGGGGGCAGTAGACTGCTTGGTCCTCTGCTCTAAGTTGGGGTAACTGGATACATGTCTGCTATACACACACAGGTGTCCTTACTCTGGTATCACTGGAGTCTTTTCCCTAGTGGCCTTGGCCAGGGCCGGTGATTTTTTTCATCAGGAAGAAAGAAAGCTGTGCCCACACAAGCTCCACTGTGAGCCCTTGTGGCCATGGGAACCATAGGCGGCCACTCCTGCTTGACCTTAGAGCCGTGGTTCTCACCCTTCCTGATGCTGCGACCCTTTAATACAGTTCCTCATGTTGTGGTGACTCCCACCCATAAAATTATTTCATTGCTACTTCCTAACAGTAATTTTGTTACTGTTATAAATCGTAATGTAAAAATCTGATATACAGGATATCTGATATGCAACCCCCCAAAGGGTTTGTGACCCATAGTTTGTGAACCATTGGCCTAGAAGAAAGTGCTATCTCCAAGCAGAGGTAGATGTGACGTGAGGTCGGGAGGTCCACTGATAGAATTAAAGAGGTCTATCAACTGGACATGAAAACTACATCTTGGTCTTCAGTCACAAATAATGGTGTCTTCCTTCCATTGTGAATCTGAGCATCAGGTGTCAAGAATTTCAGGAACACTGTGGGTTTTGTCCCCAGGAGAACTGATAGGCATTTCATAGCATGCATGGTTGCAGATGTCTCAGGACCTCATTTGCTGTTCATCTTGAAATCCCAGCATGATGTTTGACCCGCTCTGGGTACTAGGATGTGGATACGGGACACACACACACAGACTCACATCATATCACACTGTGTGTAGTAGTTTAGTACCGGTGATTTTCTTTCTGTTTCATACATTTGAAAACGTTGGTTTGAGAAGTGCTCAGAACCTGGTTCAGAAGCCTGGTCCAAAGATACCTGCCCTGCCAGTGCTGGCTCTTCCTGGGCTGTGGCAGCTTCTCCCACTCGGCAGACTCGTGCTCCCACACCGCCCGAGAACCAGCCCTCCGCGTCTCCTTCCTGACCAGCGGTTCCTTTCCCCATCAGGCAATGTTTACAAGTTCCAGACCGGCTCCCGGTTTCACGCGATACTGTGGCACAAGCACTTGGATGATGCGTGTAAAAGCAACAGGCCTCAGGTAACGTCCCCAGACCCTGTTTGTCACCAGAACCCCAGACTGCAGGGCTCCCTCCCCTCGGGGTCCGTCTGTGCTGTCCCCAGGCACCTGCTTTTCATTTTTCCATGAGTCAAGGCAACCCTTGCACAGCTTTGCATGAAGCCTGGCTCTGGACTGGAACTTTGACTCCTTTCCACTGAAGAAAATGCCCCAGACACACCCAGTAGGAGACTGAGGTGGCGAGTGTGACGCCGTCCGGTGATCTAGCTCTAGTGTCTGTTGAGATGGTTCCCCAGAGCTGCTTTCGTTGGAGTACCCCAAATGACTAATAGGGTCTCTCTGCCCACTACCCTGGGGAGTGCACTGCTAACAGCTGGAGTACTGAGGGCCGACCATGGGCCAGGCAAGGCTGCTGGATATGGATCCTGGTCCAGCCTCTTCCTCTGCTGTCAGCATCATTCAGAAGGCTTCCCATGCAGCCATTGGCAGAGTCTTCCCATGTCCTATAACATAGGTTCTCTTACTGTCTCCCTCATACACCGAGGGGCTGAGGCTCAGAAGTGAAGGACACTTGTGCAAGGTTCCATAGTTAGTGAGTGGTGAAGCTGGGCACCCAACTCAGGGTCACCTCATTCCCATCCCTGACCTGTAGCTCCTAACTGAACTCTCCAGCATCCGTTCTTTGAGAGTGAGAGTTCCTGTCACTGTACAAGAGAGCCAGGAGTTGTGCCCTGCTGGCCAGGCCTGTGGCAGAAATGGAAGCCTCCACCCTCAGCACAGGTGAGGGTGTGTCGGAGCTTCCTGCTCTCTGCATGCCGTGTAGGCAGCATCCCTGCTACGAGGAGGCCCAAACTACACTCGAGTACTTAGGCTCACTTGTGGGACTGTGGGACACGCTCACCCCGTCCGTAAACTACACTCGAGTACTTAGGCTCACTTGTGGG